CCCACTACTCGACTGCAATGCTCTCCAAACCAGATTCCACGCCTTAACGGCAGTGGCGAGATTCCTAGGTTCACCTGTCAGCGGTGCGTCTTTCCGGCGAGCGATCCCCTGACATATCGTAAGCCGCTTTCGCCAGCGCCGACGGGTACTGGGTATAAAACCCAGACCCAATTCGTCTCTCTCATCATTCCCCCTTCCTCTCTCCCACTTCTCTGCCTACTCCGCCCGCTCGTCGTCGATGTTGGAAACGTGGTAGATTGAGGGCCACCGCCGTTGTCGTCTATGGCCTTGAGCCGTCTTGGTCGTCGTGGACGGAGGCAATCTTGCGGTTGACGCTGGCTGGACTTGTGCTTGTCGGCAGGTGAGTTTCCGCTCCGGCTTGGATCCTCTCCTCGTCTTGCTGATAAGTCAGGCGCTTAGAATCCCCAAGTCCGAAGCCTCTTGTGTGCCGAGTTACTGGTAAGTGTTGGCATTGCCGTTGCTGTCTCCGCACTGACTTGTCCAGTTTTCGCCGAGTTGAAATGAGGGGAGAAGGGTTCGGGATCTAGAAGCCGAGGCGGGAATGTGTGTCGCGAGGAGTTATCGGTGAGTGCCGATGTTGCCGTTGTTATCTCTGTGCTGAATTCCCCAGTTTGCGCTTGCCGAAACCAAGGCTAATGGTCGTTGCAAAGCAGCCTGTCGAGACTGCCACCATTCTCATCATCTCCACCATCGATCCACCACTCGACTGTTCCTGCCCCGAAGTCGGCGCAAATTCGATTGGAGTTGGGCAGTAGGCGGTTGGCGGATACTGGCCCGACAGCGTTGTTGTCAAATTGAAGGCCTTGACTCTGGCGGTATATCTTGCCGCCATTCGCCGAGCTTTCTTGTGCTAACTTGATTGTAGCGGACATTCGTGGTGGTCGTGAACGCTGGAGACGATGGCGGGTCATGCAGAGTCAATGGCGTTGCCAAAGATGTTGACGTCGCCGAGGGCTTCACAACTGGTGAGTGGTTTGTTGTCCACATTGACAGCTGGACTGACCTTGCTCGCAAGTTCTCCACACAACCCGACGATGGATTGCAGCAGGCGTTGGTGGTGGTCGTAAACGCTGTAGACGACGAGGACGAGGCAGAGTTGTCGGGGTTGGGTTTGCGTTGTTCGGGCCCTGCAAAACTGGTAAGTGAGTGGTCGTTCCCCATATTGACAGTATGGACTGACTTTTCACTGGCAAGTTTCCGTACTCGGCGCGTTCTTCTCATCGCCTACAACGCTCGTCGTTGTCCCCGTCTTCGTTGGCGGTAATAATGGTCGCTGGGTTTGGCGACGAGCCAGTGAAGTTGTTCTCCGGCGAGTTGTGGGTGTTGTACTCCGTTCTTGGGCTCATTCCCAAGAAGACTGTGGTCGTCGTCTGAGTCAACGCCCGGGCAGACAGTGGTTGGAGTTGGCTGCGTCTTCTGTTCCCATTTCTGCGGCTTGTGAGCACATTGACCCGTGCGGTAGCAGCCGTTGCCGGGACTTGAGGAGATCGCAAAAGGCTGTTGTTGCCGGGAGAACGGTCGATAAGTTGGTCCGCTGAGCACCTGCCGGGCCGAGCTCACATCGCCTCCGGGTTGGAGAGGTGGTCTTGATGTCGTTGTAGCCGTGGACTTCGTGAGACAAGGCCCCAGTAAGCTTGAGAGACAGTGCCCGCGGCTTGCCGGATGCAGCTTTAAGGCGGGAGATTGTGAGTGCCGACAAGGCTGAAGTCAAGATTATCGCGTGCCGTCACACGAATCGTGACTTGTCTTTCGACCACGACCAGCCACGGTCAGTCTTCTGGCTCCGTGTCAACGCTTGCTTACCATGTTGCAGCTCGGCGCTCATCCTTCACCTTCCTCAAGTTCAATGCCCGCGTAGGGCTCGCCCACTGCCATGTTGGGCTTTTTAAGGTGTGTTACCGTGTATGGTGCCAACCCGCCTATTAAACGGTCAACGCTAGGATGCCTAACGACCACGTTCACACACCCGCAACCAGGTTACGACCAGTTCAAACGGAGGGTGGGTTGCTGGGGTCGTTCAGCTGGGAGAGTTTGGCAAGAAGGTGCGTCCCTTGTTGATTCTATGCCCAAACTTCTCTAACAAGTCTGTACAGGTCCCAACTCTCATCATTTCCACATAACCGATGCGCCTTGCTCCACACGCATACAACGACACGTTTTGGAAGCCTTCTGGGATGCCAACTTCAGTCTCTGGCCTGACTTCGTCCCACCTCTGGCTCAAATTCCGCCACCTACAGGCCCCATTTTGCGCGAAAACCAGGGTGAATTTTGCCTATATCCTGCGATTACGTAAGCACTTTTGGCGTCGTTTTTTTGCCTTTCAAAAACTCACTTTTTTCACAGGATTTTGCCGCCGGAGGCGTGCATAACGCCCTGGACTTGAACTTGGCGGACTCGCGGCAACAATAAGTTCATTTTCTAGCCGCTATCGTTTGCGAGCGCGAGGAAAGCGCCGTCAGGCGCGTCGACTTTGTCTGCGTAGCGAGCGCGAAGCATGCGCCGCCAGGCGCATCATCAAGAAACCGTGAGTTGGCTTCGATGTACTTCACTTACCATTTGCTGACTTCTCTTCAGACAGCTCCCTTCGCCGCAACTACCCAGGTGGTCGTGGAGAAAGTGCGGAGTTTGCTGTCGTTTGCAAACGCGACGAGGAAAGCGCCGTTAGGCGCGTTCTGTTTGTCTGGATCTAGATCGGGCGAAGCATGCGCCGTCAGGCGCATCACAGAATGTGCATCGAGCAAATGTGAGTTTGCTAAGGTTATATTTGACTCACCGTTTGCTAACTTCTCTTTAGACACCTCCCTTCGCTACAAATTGGTCGTCTTGGAGAACGCGGGAGTTTATCTGGGTGCATGCGGGCCTGGAAATCACAACGCATGCGCCTAATCGAGCAAACGTGCGCCTTCTTTTTTCTGCTCATCTGATTGGTTTACCGTTTGTCTTCGGACCCCCAGATGGTTGTCGCAGCGAGCATGGGCGCAAAGTCAGTTTGACCACGACAACATGGTGAGTTGTTTTATGCATTTTGGCCCTTTACTAACTAGCTCTAGGATTCAAGATTGTCGTCGTACTCGTGTGGCGCCTTGCACGTTCACTCTCGGTGAGTTGTCATGTTTGCCAATGATGTTGCGCTAACTTGTAAAGCTTAGCGCAGCGCCTCTCGTTGGCCATCTTCATGAGCACCGTCGTTCAACGGTGCTTCACTTTTCTTGTTGTTGTTGTTTACCTACTTCAACTTGTCCTTGGCATCTTCGTTCACCCGCAAGGCGTAGCGCGTCTCTGCAGACTTGACTTCGCTGTTCGTGGCCAGTTGCGATGACGGGCAAGGTCAGTTTTGTGACCATGAAATGGCAAACAACGACTTACTGTTTCTCACAGCCTTATTCGGCGTCCGCATTCGAGCAAAAGGGCAGCTAATTCTTCGCTCCCGCCAACAGTAAGTGTCGCGTTGATTCTGACTCATTTTCTGCCGCAGACACGCCCAATTGCGCGAAAGAATGATGGTGAATTCACATGTATGGCTACACCCATGTAAGTCATTTCTACGTCATTTGTCTGCCGTCCAAAACTGACTTGTTTGCAGGATTTTGCTGCCCGAGGCGTGCAAAATGCTGTTTACTCGCACTTGCGACGTCGGTGCTTGTTCTGTGGGAGGTCGTCATTGTGGGGAATGCGGATCTGGGCATGGTGGGTTGTCGGACAAGGAACGGGTGGAAGTTGTGAGGTTTTGCCTGGCGATACAACATTTCTGTAATCTCGCGGACTGACTCGCTGATCGCCGCCAGTTGGTTAGTAGGACTTTGGGAGAGAGGGCGAGGGCCGGGTGGGTTTCGATGGTGAGTTTCGACTATGAAATGGCAAACAACATCATATGCCTTTCAAAACTGACTTTTTTGCAGGATTTTGCCCCCCGGAGGCCAGAACAACTCCCTGGACTTGAACTTGGCGGATCACGGCAACACGCCACCGTCGTTCGGGAACGCGAGGAAAGGCGCGTTCTGTTTGTCTGGGTGTAGGTCAGGCGCATCAGATAATTGTAGAGTAATCGGCGCTGTCGGTCGGGTTTAACATGATGTTTTTCCATCCGACGGACAGCGTTAACGACTAGGGTTATACATGCGCGCCGACCCCTGCTTCCGATTCCCTGGCAAACCGGTTGGGTAGCATACTTCAACAACGATGTCCCGATCGGCTCATTCAAGACTACCTGGACTGTCCCACCCGCACCAGCTGCAAACCACGGTCAAACGATCTTCCTGTTCAACAGCATTGAGTGCGTAACTTGGTTCACTGCCGTTCTGAAATCCTCATCTCTCACTGTAGGCCGGGAAGCTTTGACGGCATCATGCAACCCATTTTACAGGTGCGCATTTCCTCTCTGTCTGCCTTCTAAATCAACCTCTGTGTGTCTCAGTGGGGACGGAGCGCAGCTGGCGGTGCGATTTCTTTTTGCACTATAAAACAAAGTACTTAGCAATTCGCTCAAGGTGGCCCGCAATGGATGCTTGCATCATGGTACCTCTACCCCGGCGGGACATTCTTTTCGCCTCTGGTCGGTGTTTCTGTCGGCCAAAGACTGCAGGGTGAAGTCCGGCTCGTTGGCGCGTCTGGCGGGACCTTCAACTACCTCTCCTCCTTCACCAATGTTGGCGGCACGGGACTCGAGGTCGATGGTGGCCCAGAGCTGAAATGGGCTACGCTCACCCTCGAGTCGTATGGCGTCACCACCCGCGACGACTACCCGGCGGGCTCGACGGTGTTCTCGGCCACCAACCTGCAGCTGACTAACGGCGGATTCCCGAATATCAACTGGGCCACTGTCAGCGACACCGCTGATGGTATTACCACCACGGTACAAACCCAGGGCTCGACGGCGGCTGTTGTTACAATTACTTACTAGAGGGATGGTTTAGAAGTAAAAGAATGATTTTTAAGATGGTAACAGGAGAGAAAATTCGATTTATCAGGTGGGTATGCCACTAGCTGCTTTTCTTCCCTCGAGCGAGAAACAAATCCACCGTCTGGCCATGAAACCTGGCCGATGAAAGCTGCTCGAAGTCAACTTCTATCAACCCAGCCCCCTCAAAAGCGGCGCAAATCTGGTCCTTCGAGAAGCCAAACCTATGAGGGACGTCTTCGGGAATCGCCTTATCACTGGTCATGAAATCCACGACGAGCAAATAGCCACCAGGTTTGAGGAAGAATGCCAGCACGCCCGTGGTCGCTTCTATCGACTCCAGATGGTGGTATGCTGCAGAGCACTAAAGAAGTGAACAGCACGAATAAGGTCTAGCATAGACCGACAACAACAACATCGAACTTCTCGCCATCCAATTCGGAGTCGTGGCCTTGAAGCTCGGCGCAAACGACGTGTAGTTCATCCTCAGGGATACCTAACCAATATCTACGTCTCCAATGAGCATCAAGTGTATGCTAAATACCTTGATTGTGGACTCTCTCCTCGAAGAAGTCAACCGAAGTTTGTAGACGATCAACAGCAACGATTCTCTTGCAGTACGGAGCTAGTCCACGAGAAATGAGACCTTTTCCGCAGGCAAAGTCCAGGAGGGTGGTAGATTTATCGTCGAACGGATAAGCATTTTGTAGTGCAGCAATGATATGGTTGTGGTTAGAGTGCGCCATCAATGCATCACGCGTCACGTGTTATGGCCCATAAAGACTCGTTGGCTAGTAAATGAAGCCAAAAGTACGGTATTCTACCGTAAGGTGGAAGGCCAGGAGTTTGGACGGGCGTTTGGAAAACAATGTCATGTGACTATACGATTTGCTATACGATTTGACATGACGCGCTACCACTCTACTACTACAGTACCAGCTGCAACGTACATATCCATGGCTAGTTTGTAAACAAATCATGATCAAAATATACCTTCCCACTATCCCATTCGAGTCATCGTCTCATACGACCGTTTGACCGCCTTTGACGGCAGCATGCCAGTATTGACATATCCGAGACCTGCTCTGGATGGTACCACACGAAAACTCAACGTAGCGGCGATCGCCTCCGCACCCACAAAATCTCCAGCCAAGTCAATTTGCATTGGCTCCAGATCGAGAAGAGGGAGCAGGGGCTGTTTGGGAGCGACAACGGTCCAATGATGGAGAGAGGGTGCATGAGTTGATTGGACTGGTGTCACAGGCACAGATGTCTTTGCGTGGAAAAGGTTGAATTGGGGTTGCGGTACTGGTGCCGGCGCCTGGTCAGTCCTGACGCGCTGTCGCTTGAGGGGACGATCATCGAGCTGTTCATCTACAATCTGGGTTGATATTGGTTACTGTTCTGGTGGAGAACAAAGCAAGCACCTGTCTATCCTTCGGTTGGCCAAGCGGTGTGCGATTGGAACCTGTCAAAGGCGGACTGGATTCAGAAGATTTCGTAGAGTCCATTGCTGCATTGACAGGCGAAGAGACTGGCGGCAAGGGAAATATACTCTTCGGCGGCGGAAATGGTATACTGCATATTGGAGGTACAAATGCGCCTGTACTTGATAAGATGATTCAATGGGAGAGAAAACTTGACTACCGTACTGTGACCCAAAAGGCAAGCAAGTCGAAGGTAAGAGAGTAGATTTGGCCGCCAAGGGAGAGCTGTCAGCTATTGCCGCTTCAAGAGGCGAACCGAATTGGCATGACATTGAGGCAGAGGAAAAGGGATGTTGCTGCTTCGTATTGACGGGAGTGTTGAGTATGAAACCGATTGGAAGTAGCGGCAAGCAAGTAATGTTAGAGACATCTGTATGGTCTTAGAGATCGGGAAAGAACGCCGAGGAGCTGCATACCATTGCAGAGCACACGTTCAGAGTGATATGGGTTGACTCTAGGAGGGAAGGAGTTCTCTTTATTGCGGTTCTTGTTGGATTTGACCGTTCTTCGTGGTTGGTGATTGCTGCGATTACTTTTCTTCTTGTGTGTTTTGACGATTCTGCTTCATGTGAGAACGAGAACCAAGAACTTTGACTACCTGCATTGGGTGGATGGCTCGCAAAGCGATTTGAGCGAGGAACTTGAAGGTATGCGCAAAGGTAAGGCGAAAACGAACGTGGCCGACATTGTTGGATCCGTTGGAAATGTTGGCTCCAGCAAAAATCCACCAGCTAGCGATGATTCCTGGGCGTGGTCCAGCACCTTGAGGCCAAGGATGTAGAGATTCAGGGTCGTTGCCAGCAGCGAGTAGAATATTCTTGATGGTAGAGGGCGAGGAGAGGGATTCAACCAGCACCTGCAAAAGTCGTTTCACAAAGAGCATCGCACAACACAGATAACACTTACCTGGCGTTCCAAAGAAGACACCCCAATGTCCGAGAGCAGCTCGCTCAGCATACTATTGATTTCAGAGAGACCACGTTCTCCGAGTTCTAGCAGCGAATTCGTATCGGAGTGCGTTTCCCAGAAACCAGCGTCGAGAGTTGGAAAATGCCAGACATATTGGCGAAACGTGTTGCTTTGAGTTTCTTGGTTGATGACTTCGTGGGCGATGGAGCCAAGGTCGCGGGTGGAGTAGGCGGGCGCAGTGGTCGTCATAACAGAGCCAAAAAGAGTGGAAATGTGGACGAGCAATGAGAGGATGGAAGCAGAAGGTGTCGCAGTGTGACAGCCGCGTTACTGGACTGTCTAACACTAAGTCACGTGTTATGCGCTTTGACTCATTGCTGCTGCCTACAACGTTGGGTAGACAACAGTCGAACGCCAGAAGAACATAGAAAACAAACTCAAGACAGTTCTGAGCAGATCGGAGGTACTGAATTCAATTCAGCCCTATCAATGACTAAATGACATCTTAGGCTTCTTAGCGCGACGACGAGTACCCCCACAGACGCTCGTACTCCTTAAATATTCGCACCCAAACGATTACTCTAAGTATGGCCTCTTCTCACAACCACCCCCACCCGCATCACGCCCATGGGCACGACTACGCTTCTGCTAATCAGGCCTTCTTTGACCAGCATGCTCACGAGGCTGACCAGCGTCATGGGGCTGGGGAATTAGCAAAAGAGTATGTTCTCCGTGAACACTGGCAAAGGAAATGGCTCAATTATAGTCCAGCATCCGAGACGCCATCCTTCAAGCCTATAAGTTCGACGATCAATCCACAACCTTGCTTGATTTCGCGTGTGGAACTGGGATCGTCTCCCTCGGCCTCGCTGAACGCTGCAAGAAGGTTGTTGGCGTTGATATTAGCCAGGGTATGGTAGACCAGTACAACAAGAATGCAGCGGAAAGAGGTTACATTTACTCTTCACACTTGAAACCCTGCTCAATTCATCCAGATATTTCCTCCCAAGCCTTGCGCATCGAACTCAAGGGTGAAGACAGTGAGCTAGACGGAACCAAGTTCGATGTTGTTATGGTGCTTTGCCCCTTGAATGCATTGTGTCTGCTAAATTTCAAGTAGTGTTCGCTCGCATACCATCATATCCAAGACATTGTCAGCACCACTCGTTTGCTTTCCTTCTTCTTGAAACCTGGTGGGGTTCTTCTAATTGTCGATTTTCCAACAATGGACATCTCCAAGTTCCCTGCCGATGTCGCCAAAGCGATGATTGCACATACCCATGGAGTGTCACAAGTGGCGATTCGGGAGGCGTATGACAAGGCCGGACTGGGTCAATTCGAGTGGCGAGAGTTCAAAGGGCCAAAGAGCGAGATACATCCAGAAGACGTGTTCATTACCAAGGGCGTCAAGGTGTAAAGATTACAGAAATGTGCGGAACTGGGGCAAATCTCGCACTTTAATAGCAATGAAGTACTCCCACTGCCGCAGACTTTCGATGGCACAAGGATAAAGGCCATGAGCAGTTGTGAATATCTTCGCAAGGTCATTGAGCGCGCCTGGTCGAGCACCAAGTTTGGTGAGGACACTTTGGCGAGCCGAGTTCCAGTGTGGACAAGCGGTGACGTTAGCGGTAATCCGACAAGGCGCTGTGTGGCCTATTCGCCAGCCTTCTGAGCATGCCAACTCGAGAATCTCCTGCCACTCGGAGTAGTATCGTAGCTTGTCCCGAGTTTGAGATCATGTGAAGAACTGAGACCCGAGAGGACTTACCCAGCTGCCCATGTAGTTAGCATGCATATGTTTGCCTATCTGGTCAAGTGGGAGGGAAATCGTCAATGGTGCTGCTTCGTCTGCGATTTCGAGGTAGTCATGTCTAACAGCGTAATTCAAGACCGTCAATGCATTATCTTGTAGGCCATTCCTATGGAGTATTGATGAGACTGATGTTCAAGTTTAAGGAGAGCCAGCACATACCCCATAAAAATCCGTAATATATCCATCGCGCTGAATATCTGGTACTTCTCCGCCGCCTCCGCCAGGTCAGCTAGCACATTAAAGGGCAGAGTCGTGAGATCGGGTTGTCGTTGTGGATAAACGTATTGAAAGAGCAATTCTAATGTCTCTGCAGTCTCTGTCAAGTTGACGATTTCGGACTCCAAATCGACGGCAAATGCGCTGGGTGGAAACCCCTCAGCATGAGTCTCTAGGTTCTTGGTGTGTGTCCTAAAAATGACATTGTCTGATGAGCGGAATGCGATATCTGAGTCGGGGAAATTGACTAGATGGGTTGTAAGAGTTAGAAGCGAGAAGGATAGGGCCTGAACACACTTGCATCGCTGAGATACACTCGCTGCCTTAGAATTGCCTTCGCCCAGGCCTTCGCCAACCGACGACATCGTGGTTCAGAACTGAGACTCGGAGTGATGTAAATTCTGATCACACACGGATCAAAACAGTCGGAGGTTCAACAAGGATAACAGTAGCAAATCGGTAGCAGTACATTCAAAGAGAGGATGGTCCTTCACTTGCCAGTGCGCAAACGATCTACATCACTTGTGCAAATATTTCGATGGTAAGCCTCCCAAGCATTGCGTTGGCAGCTTGAATTACAGTAAGCGGGCCCTCTACACCTGCGGAGCAAACCCATTAGCACGAATTGAGCTCTAGGTATATTAGGTGCCAACCTTCCACATGTCTTTGCTGGCGCCGTTAGTGGCTTTTGTAGGCACCAAGAACAAAATAAATCGTGAGTGGATAGGGACGACGAGTCGTCCAAGTCGTGTAGCAGTTTGGAGTTTTTCGCGAGCCGTCGTTTCGCCTCAGGGTCTCGTAGCCTTGTCTCGAGCCAGTGCTCCTCCTTTTCTGTCAAGTGCACGCGAAAGCCTTCAAATAGCATGAAAAGCTCTGTTGCAGCCATCGAGCGCTCGACTCTTTTCTTGCCCGGCAGTGTGCGGAAAAAGGTGTTGATGACTTTGACGGTCGGAATCAGCTTGGGCAGCGAAATCTTGAAACCTGTGGAGTTGTATCGAACCTGACTGAAAATAAAGCTCTTCGTGTCCCCTCCGACACGGGGAGATGCGAGGAGAATGGAGTAGGCCTCCCAAAGCTGACGCCCATGAGTTTTACCATGATACATTGCGACCGAGTCTCCGAGTGATTCAACGAGTGTGGCAATGAGATGAGGAGACCAGACACCATCGACTTCCGCATGCCCAACTAAGATGCGGGTGAAAAGGTTCATGAATGCCTGAGAAGGCTCCGCATGGGCAACGAGCCGGGCGAGACATGTATCTAGTCGAAATCGCCTACTTTCTATCCATGTTGGTTCGGTATAGATGCGGAAGAAAGCGCGGCTGAGGGCGTCGTCGTAGCGAGGGAATTGTGCCATCTGAGACATAAGAGCCTGTAGTCTCCGGTAAGTCACCTGTCGGTCAAGGAGAAGCTATAGCCGCACATTTCCATAGACTTGATCCTCAACATCCGGTGGGACGATATGACGGGGGAATGGCTTGGCTCGAATCGTGGCCAACACAAGGCTCGACTTGTTCAAGTTGAGGGAGATTGGTCTGCAAGATCGAGAAAAGACGAGATATACCCCACACGACATCCCTCACCGAAAGTACTTGACCCAAAAGTTGCGCGATTTAGTGTTTCGTTTGTCCGCTCGGTTATCCCAAATATGTTGTTGTTCGGCTGGCAATCGGTCGTATGCGGTCCAATCATCGTCTATCACGGGGAATTTAGCAACAGTGTAGTGTGGACAACATGTCGCTTGATGCCACACACCGTTCTGCTCGGCACAAAGTTCTTCTGGAGTGACGCCTTCCAGAGTGAAAAAGTCTAGCCCCTCTTTCATTGCATTGGGCATGATATCCGATCTTCCGAAGCAGTCTAGCATCTCTCCCAAATTCTTCATTAATGCTGCTTGCTCTGTGGATGTTGAGCTTGGGGTCGCCATCGTTGAAGCCAGCAACAGCAGTCATCACGATGACTATCAATTCTTGATCGGGTTGATAGAATCAGATAAGCCCTGATCCTTGAGAGATTGCTTGCAAGAGGTCTGGAAAAGCCGGTATGCCGGATGAAGCGAACCAAGAGAAGCTGCTTGTCGGAGTCTCAAGAGTGGGGCTCCAAGGTTCTTGACCGGATATCTGAATTTGGACTCCGATTATCGCGGTCACGCAAAATTGGCGTGACCGCTGAATACTTATGTATAATCGGCCCGTTGACAGCAACTTGTGTGTATTTACCAAGCAGGTCCAGCTGGGTGGCGGCGAATAGCCATGGGTTCTCACTTTATCATTCGCAGATAGGGACAAATAGAATGGCCACTGCTGGCAGAGCTCACACGAGTTTTTGCCAACTCCGCTCAGCACCCCATTTTCTTGTTCTGCCGACATCCACGCACGACCACCCGCATCAGAATCGAAAAATCAAGGGCGGACGACGGTGCACGTTGGCATACGGAGAGGTCACTCATATAGCCACCGTATGGAGGGCCCAGAAGTGAAAAAAACCACGTCAAGGTGTTTGTGGAACCACTTTCGAAAACAAGTTAAAAGGTCGTCATGTTTGAGGACCGATGTGGGATCTCTTGCCTCCTTTCTGTACAACAGCCAGCAGTTCTAATGATGGCCTATAGCGTCGCTACGTAGCCGTGTATTCCGCATGTTGAATGCGGAATCCTCGGCGCCGTAGCCGCACTGCAACGTCGTCTGAGTCCTGTAGGTATTGTCGCAGCTAGGAAGCGGACATCACTCGCTGGCCCATTTCCTCAGTGCGAGTTCCCCGTCGGCTTGTGCCGAGCTTCCATGTGGGCGTCATTCCGATTTTTCTTGGGTTTTCAGATGAACTTTAATCGCCATAATCAGATGTGATGGAGATACGATCCGAGGCTAGCAAGTTCAGAACCTTATTCGGCACGGAATCTTGTCCACGAGTGAGGATGGAGGTCGGTTTTCTCCAGCATTCAAGTTGTGTACAAATGTTTGGGTGTCAAGTACTTGCGACGCGGCGAACTCGTTTATGCTACTTCCTCGTTCCTGATAGACGACCGTCGGCCAGCCAGCGATTGATGAGTGCTAGTGCCTCGGCTGGTTTGTCGTGCGGGACCTCACACACAAAATCAGCAAGAATCCGAAAGCTGTCGACACTAGTTACCATGTGTCCTGCGTTCCACACACTGGCGAAGGTCAACCCATGAAACTCACGCATCTCTCCAACCGCCACGCCGTCAACCAGCAACTCTCTCAACGGCTCAGCGGCGAATTCCTCTTGCCCAGACCATTCCAGCCCTCTCGCAAGTCGCTCGATGCCAACGTAGTTACAGATGAAGTCGGAAGAGCCCGCGTAGAGTAAGACTTGAACGCCGTGATCCAGTAACGCCGCCAAGTGCCCGGTGCTGGTTTGGTGGACATCTCCGGAGGCGGAGAACAGCGCGTTGACGGTCATATTGGCCATGGTGATATTAGGCAACGCCGGAGCCAATGGGACGCCGAGTATGGAGCGTATCGGTGACGAGTTGAGGTATGCCGCGATTTTTCTAGAAATAATAAGTAGCGATTGGCATGACAGCGTCAGGGTCGCAGGAAGTTCGGAGAGGATTTGAAACGGACTTAGTGATTGGATAGCAGAGTGTGTCAGTGACCTCGCCAATACACTCGGTCCGCATATCGTACATACTCTTGCCTATGGTGAGGCTGGTGAGGCCCTGAAATCAGAAGAGCGGGCCGTTTACCTGTGAGCGTGAAAGGCGTCATCAAGGCTTCCCCACAGAAAGACTCTGCGGCCATGCAGTTGATTATATCGAAGGTATCAATACAGTGGGCTTGAATGGCCTTCTTACAGCGAGGGAGCTGGTAACTGGTGTGAGACAATGGGGGCATCAGAACATCGCGTACAATTGTCTTCATCTGGACGCAATTGCTATCTCATCGTTACTACCGTCACAGATTCAGCTTTACACGGGAATGCTCACCTTATCGTCTGGATCGGACGGACATTAGGACTGGTGATGCCGCATTGCATGTCGTAGTATGAAGTGATGGTACTAGCGGGAATGAGCACCGAGTACAGCAGCTGAAAACAACTAACTGAAAAATATCGCTACAGCCATTTCCTGAGTTTTGTTTGGACAGCACAGACTAGTCAATAGGTCAATTGACTTGCCTACAATCGCCGAAATGAGGTTGATGGGTGTTATTCCCAGCTGGGTCGCACGCTGATTGTTGTCGAATATTTGAGAGGCAAACAGTGGCACATATCGCCCCTAGTATTCTTTAGCAAGTGACACGACAGAAAAGGAAGGCAACGAGTTACACCGTATGATTCGCCTGCAATATGTAAGCGACGACCCTTTAACCCGTCCATGGATTCGAAGAAAATAGCCAGAAAGGCTGCTATATCGTTCGCAGCAGCTTCCGTTGTATCCTGTTGCATGACTTGGTCAGAATGTGAGCCACGGCCAAATGAACAGACGGACGATTGACTGCCCATACTCTGCGTAAGAAAAGCCCACACCAACAGGCTGCTCGATAAATAAGGTATTCGCTTTCGAGTTCCACGAATACGGATTGATCTCTGTTGTGTTTTCCGAAGTTACGGTACATGGGCCTAGAAGGTATTGTCATTGAAAAATCGTCGTGTTTACTCAGTCACATACCTAGCTCCATGAATAGGCCAAGTGAAGAGGCACCTCCAGGTCCGCCGTTAAACCAAAGCAGCACATCATCAGACTCTGGCGCGCTTCGACTTTCAAAGTAGTAAAAGAACAGATGCCGAGCTTGAATATCCACATAGCCAGCATACGAGCTACACTCTCAAGTCAGCACTGTTTGTCACTGTGCTAGTTTTACAAACCGGACAGCCGGGTCGCAAAATCCCGTTGTATTCTCCAGAAAAAGCTTTGTGAAGGCGATCTCGAGGCAAACGGACATGGACTGACCTTGACTCGGATGCCATATTCCGGAAATGCTTGATGGGTGAACGTCGCAAAGGCGCTGGCGCGGACCCGAGCAACAAGAAGGAGCGGTAGAAACGAGATGAGCCTCATCGTCGTTAGCAACCAAGTCGACAAGTACGCCGGCCGAGCAATGATGCAGCTAGTGTGAGAGATCAGGTTGGATAGAGGTCAATGGCCATGACGAGTATGTGTACGTTCTGTCCTCAGTGTTGAAACAATTGCATTAGGGTCTGAAGCATGAACTTTGAAGACGAGCAACTTCGGTGTCGCACTAGCACGTGATTATCAACCCATGTACAATCCACTCTCCGCTGGCAAAAATCTTGCAGGCCAAAGACGGGGTCATCTGTACGTAGCCACTTTTTTAGACTTCGATAAGGTCAGAGCGGTTGAATACTCACAAAGTCTTCCAGCTCACAGCGATTCAGAGGTCAAAGGGATCTTTCTGAATCATATGGACGATTGTGTAAAACCAACAAGAGCCCAACAAGGGTACTTTAGTGTTGGATCTTCCCCTACACCAAAATGGTCAGTCTTTACGCCCTTTTCGATCCCGTGAGATAGCACTCATCGAAAATACGTAGCTCACACGTCTGAGTCAAGCTCAAGAATGGCCATTTTAGGCTTCTAACCCAGACCGCCATGAAGGCCGCCCCTCAGCTAGCTTCCCCAGCTCTATTCTACGATCCCCCTCCGCCCCGCATAGCAGAGACTCGAATCAAGACATTTTTCGATGCCTCTCAGCTCGATGTTGTTATTACGCTGGTCAAGCCAAAGCGGAAACGAGGGTTCTATCGTCTGGAGTTTGCAGACATTCACACAGGTGCGTATTCTGCTCCCTTAATAAGTATATAATTCCTTACCCGGTGCATTTTCAGCCGAGAAAGCTCTTGCCACTGTTCACCTCCAAATCATTCCCGACACCGACCCGCCAATTCTGCTCGAATTGAGCGCGAACCCTCCACGGTCAAAGACTCCGGCGCAAGAGATGCCTCAAGCACTTCCTCGCTCGCTTAGAGGGTGGAAGAATGGGCTTTCCGCTCAGGAACTTTTTGACGCGTTTCGCCACTATGGTCCTATCCAGAGCATCCACTGTGACTCGATTACTGGTGCCCTTGTTCAATTTTGGCTTGAAGACCACGCGAAAGCAGCAGAATTAGGGTTCAACACCGCTAATTCATCGACTAAGATGGTCTTAGAGGCATACGACCCCTGCTTAGTGTTCTGCTCGGTGAGTTGGTCGAGGCCACTCACTTATCCTTGCTCATCTCTATCTTTAGAACATACCTTTTGACATTAACGATACCCCCACTCTTTGCTCTTATTTTGAAACAGTAGGCGCTCGTGGCCTTACTGAGATCACTCACTTATGACAATCCACAGTATGGTCTCATAACACAGTCCGTTCTCCATGGTAATCTCAATACTGAAAGCCAATGCCCTCTGTAGAATAGACCTACTCCGCAATGCTCGAACCGGCAAGAGTCGCGGACTGGCGCTGATACAATTCTCGACCGCAAGTGAGGGTATGTCGTCGGTTCTTTCCCTTCCACCAGTGCTCATGTTTATACAGCTTCCGCCGCGATTCACGGTATGCATGGACGGGAACTACATTCCAGAAAACTTGCGTTGGCTTACGGGCGCGTGAAAGCGACCAAAGCGATGGTCGAACCAGCAAAGACACCAACCCCGCCAGCCCATGCAACCATCAATCGCTATGTCTCTTCGCCCGTTCCAGACAGCGAGAAAACGTTGGTTGTTTCTGTCGACCCAGTCGCAAATACCAATCGATGCGTTGAATTCGAAGATGTTCGCCTGCTCTCCGAGGCCATATACGATAAGATCAAGCAACAAGTTGAAGACGACCGCTTGCGGAGGGAACATAATGACTTTGAGCGCGCCACTCTCCAGTCACGATATGACGAAGAAGTTTCACTTCGAATTGCTGCGCAAGCTGGACTGAAACAACTGGCTGAAAACGAGTATCTACGACAGACTGAATCCGCCAAAATCCAGGCGCGCCTTGAGGAGGAGAGAAGGGGCCGGGAGAAATGTGAGGCAGAGAACGAACACTTGCAATCATGTTTGGAGAGAGAAAGGACTCAATACGAGAACGAGCTGACAACTCTTCGGGCCCGTTTGGTCACCGAATCCAAGCTGCGGCTAACGGCAGCCGCGCAAACTGCACAACTCCGGGAAGAACTGGAAGAGACAATCTCTCAACTCGAGGACGAAGTCATACTCCGGGCAGAGTTACAAATGCAGTATGATCGGGAAGAAGAACGCCGAAGGGAGGTTTCTTCTGAACTGGAACGAGTTCGTGTGGAATTGGAGCGTGTCCAGAGAGCACTCGTGTTGACGGAGTCGCAAATCAAGATGGCTCAGCTGGAACGAGACAAGCCGATTTGGGAAAAGGCGAAGCTGAAACGGGAAGCGGCCGAGGCATCCCAACGTCGTGCTGATGATGCTGCAAAGCGCAGAAATCTGGAGAAGATTATTGCTGATGAGAAAGCGAAAAGAGAGGCAGAGCGTCAGGAGCGTATAAAGAAAGAACAGGAGGAACGAGATCGTCGAGAAAGGGAAGAAAAGGCGCGGCTGGAACGAGAACGGCAAGAACAGGAGCGTAAATTGCGAGAAGAACACGAACGCAGGCAGCGGTGGCAAGCAGCAACTGCACGGGAAGGAAAACGTTGCAGGAAGCGTGACCAGGCTATGCGGGGAGCAGCTAGATGGACGAACTCCGACGCCATTTCGCGTGTCAAGATCATAATGGTCGAGTTTGAGAAACTCAAATTCTCGGAAACCCAACCGTTGACCCTTGCCGCCATCCCATGGCCTATCCTTATTGACCCTCTGCAACTCGAACTCGACGCTATCACATGGGAGTCAGTCGAGAAATTTTTCGCGGCGGTCAAGCTTTTCTCTTATGATGACCCTACGGAGTACAAAACATTGGTTGAGAAACTCCATCGAATGTTTCATCCGGACAAGTGGCGTTCGAGAGGAATCCTTTCCTCTGTTTTTAACGAGACACTTCGAGCGGGCATTGATGCGGCAGGGAACTCCGTTGCGCAAGCACTGACACCATTGTGGAGGGAGAGCAAAGGATACGTATGACTAATAATAATTTGCTTCTTACCATATGCTCCTCGAACTTGATCGTGGCAATGAACACGGATATGCCGTTGGCCTCCGATGCTGAAGTAATAGTTCACGAAGAATACATTGGGTCGGGGCAAGTTTAGATCTGTGGTGGAGGTTGGACAACCCCAACTGGGACTTTCCCTCTAGCTTTGCGAGCAGATGAGTATTTTCCCTCAAGTCAAGCTCGAAGTGGACAGCGCAAGTAGCAGAGTCCTCTTGCTGTCCATGCAATGAATTCGGCATTTCACTTACATTCCCAGCTAAAATGGTCAATTGGCAATTACCATCCGAATCGTCGATCTCCGTATATCTTGGAACAAACCACCATGGGCAAACGAAAGAACGCGCCAACCGTGGACAAACCACCATCCAAGAGGGCACGGCGAGCAACGGGTGACAACGGAGATTCAGACGCGTGCGACTCAGATGAGACGGTTGAAGTGGTCGTAAACTGGTCGACATTGAAACAACATCAATTGGAGTACGCTAAACTCCAGGCACGCTACGAAGAGGAGAAGAGCGGCCGAGCGAAATGCGAGGCAGAGAACGGGCGATTACAATCGTGTTTGGAGAGCGAGAGGACCAAATACCACGAGCTCATGACTGCTGGAGCTCGTTCTTTCTTCCTGCAGCATAAGGCAGGCGCACAGACTGTGCGGCTGCAAGCCGATCTGGAGGAGACTACTGCCCGACTTGCAAAAGAGGTCTCGCTTCGAGCGATGTTCCAAGCACAATATAACGAGGAAAAGAAACGCGAAAGGAAGACTGCATTCGAACTGCAAAAACTTCGCGCGGAATTTGGGCTTGTCCAGAGAGCACTTATGCTAGCGGAGTCATCAAGATGGTGGAACTGGAACGAGACAGGCCGCTTTGGGAAGACGCAAGACTTAAACGGGAAGCAGCCGAGGCCCAGCGGGAACAAGAGCGAATGAGGCAGCGAGAGCAGGATGAGAAAAATCGTCGAGAAAGAGAAGAAAAGGCACGGCTGGAACAAAAAAGGGAGCGTAAATTGCAGGAAGAACGCAAACGTCAACAGCAATGGCAAGCAGCAACTGAAGCGGAAGAATTACGCTGCAGGATGCGGGATCAGGCCATGCACGGTCCGGGAGCGGCTAGATGGACCAATTCCGGCGCCATCTCGCGTGTTCGAGTCTTAATGGTCGAGTTTGAGAAGCTCAAATTTTCGGAAAGTCAACCTTTAACCCTTGCCGCTATCCCTTGGCCGATACTTATTGACCCTCTCCGACTCCAACTCGACGCCATCACATGGGAGGCCGTCGAGAAATTCTTCGCAGCGGTCAAGCTTGACGATCCTGCCGGGTACAAAACACTAGTGGGTAAACTACATCGAATGTTCCATCCGGACAAATGGCGTTCTAGAGGAATTCTTTCCTCCGTTTTTGACGAGACGCTTCGGGCAGGCATCGATGTGGCAGGGAACTCTGTTGCGCAAGCACTGACACCATTGTGGAGGGAGAGCAAAGGATATATGTGACTCAGCATGATCTATCTTAATCCTCAGTTGCTGCTCGTACGAAGACACTCGCTTTCCATCTGTAACATGCCCCCAAGCAGTAAACAATGCTACATTTCTTCAGATCGTCAAGCCACATGGAAGATCTAGCACCAACCGTCTGAGATCGAGCGGTGTTATGAATGAATTGAGGTAGGGCTGTTATGGTAAAGATGAGCCCTTTTGACACTTCAAGTTGGGGATTTATTCGACCGACCCGATGGAAAACGACAGAACGCGCCATTTTGGCAGGTGGGTCAAACCTAACGGCTAGTCCAATTGGCGATTGAGACACGCCGAATCCAATACGTTTCATTGCCTGCAACAATTCATGTTGTGGAGACAAGAAACTTGAAACCAAACCTTCTCAAAGTCTGACCATCGGACGGTTTTCATCGCTTGGGTTGCATCGGGTTGCTCACTCGACTTGAAAGTGAACACTCGTAAAAATATCTATTCTCCAAGTCAATGATGTGCCGCTGAGGATTACAAGATAGACCTTGAAGTTCTTTTTACCGATACTGAACTTTCTTGGCAGGTAATCAGGCAGAGCGTCATCCCAGTCCATGAGAGTCGAGTCCAGACTGTCGTGCATTGTTTGCTCGATTGGGGAACTAAAGAACTCCTCTTCAACTTCGTCAGCCCACGACAGCGAGCTTGTGGAGAACACATCCTGTTCGGTCACTGCTTGCGTCTCTGTTTCCGCCCCCACCCCCACGTCGGCCTGCTCTTCTGGCGCAGTGTCGGGGTCTGATGTCATCCACATCTCAGCGCCGGGGTCAAGATGGGGGTCTAAATCGAAGTCGAACTGGTCATCAAGATATTCTGTCCAGTTGGATTTGGGGGGGAGTGCGCGAGGTTGGCCCCATGACGGAGGCGGTGATTTACCAAGTGCTTTGAATTTCGCAAGGCCCTCCCGGTACATCGGGAAAAATGTCACCCTCAGCGGGCTGACTCGACCCGGACTTTCTGGATTCGACAGGTAAAGAGTGTGCTCGGCCCCTCGGGGCTCGATTTCACGCACTCGCTCCAGCCCCCGGCCAACCCTCCAAAGGATCTTATCGATCTGCTTCCACGCTTCGTCAAACAAGAGCAGTCGTGCAATATCTTTGGTGGGTGTCTCAATTCCGACCTCCGCGTAGTCAGCTCGAAGTCGTTCCGCTTCCTTGATGACCGCTGCCAGTTTGGGTGAGTGCTCGTCAGTGTTGACCATGCTCATCATCGTCAGCCAATATCTGATCGGCGTCTTGTCGACCGCCTTTTGGCGCCAGGTGTTTCCGATGGAGCGCACGACAGTGCAGGCGTACGACCAATCGGTTGCCTTGTTTCGTGGAACCAATTTGAGCCTTTTAGCATCCATATACGTGATCGCATGGACAAATTCGGGGCCCTGGAAGGTAGCGTCCCGTGATTTTGCGTACTTGATAAGTTTTTGCCCGAACGGCGTATCGAAAAGCTGGCTTTTGCATTCGACCACTGAGCGGATCGTTCAGTTGAGAACAAAATCATGGTGCGAAACCCATACCAGGCTCGAGCTTGCTGAGTTCCCGGTATGCAATCATCTCAGCGAGTCTGTGCCAACGCTCGCTGCAAAGGTACGACACAAAACAAAGACATAACACCAGACGCCATAAGACGACACGGTCGGTTTTGTATGCATCCTGGATTGCGCTGGTGCTAGAAAGTTTCTTCTCTTTCAGAGTGGTGAATGTCAGCGCGAGAGAGAACCAAGTCATGTGAGATATCTAAAGTGGGGGGTTACTGATGTACCGTTTGAAACTTGGAGCGAGATGTCTGTACCGTCATGATGAAGATCTGGGACTGAAATGCGAGCTCTGCATGGTAGGGCCCGAGTTTGTCCTCAGGTGTCGTATCCAGATTTGCATCGATAATGGTTGATGGGGAGTAGAGCTCTAGCATTTGTATGAATACTTCGAGATCGAAGCGCCACTCTTCCATGATCTCGATGCCAAGTTCCTATGCAACTTGTGTCAGCTAAGTTGTGACGGTATTCCAACGAAAGCTACCATTTCTGAAGACGCGATGGCGCGAACAACACGCCAGTCGATGTCGGGAATCTTGCTACCATTCAAGATGGATTCGTGACGACGCTACAGCATAGGTGTTTCAGTTCTCGTGACGGTGCCATCGAGAGACCGCGTTGGGAACGTACATTGTTCCACTCAGCCAAAGGCTCTTCGCGGCGACGTTTCAGGGCAGGGCCGGCTCGAGGTGGCGCACATAGATCAGATTCAACGGCAAATCTGAAGTATTCGCGCATCGCTTGCTCCGAAATGCCTGAACATCTCAACTTGAGGTAGCCAATGGGTAGTAGCAGGGAGAGGACGAACCAAATTCAACCTGAATTTTCCCTTCATGCTATCATTCAGCTTGGAGATGGATGGACTGACCGCTGCTAGGTAGAGGTATGTTTCCTTGCTTGTCGAGGATTTCTTTCCGTCAGGTGGTTTTGACAATTCGGCAAATCCTTCTTGTGCTCGTTCACGGCCATACTCGTTGATGAACCTAGAGGGAGCCGCTTAGATCGAGCAAGCAGCTTCTTCCACGTATTCACCATTCTTGGAAAGTCTTCTTTCCTTCGAGAGAGGACCGGCAGTACATCAGTAAAATAGCATAAAAGTCTTTCTGGTCTTTGGTCTTTGGGAAGAGTCTTTGGTCTTTGAGAGTAGGTCTTTCTGGTCTTTGGTCTTTGGTGCCTGATCTTTGGTCTTTTTCCAGAGTCTTTGGTCTTTTTGAGATTAGTCTTTTTTTGAGATTGGTCTTTGTTTGAGATTGGTCTTTGTCAAGAACAGTCCTTTTTGTCAAAGTACTTTATATCTGTAGATATATAAGTATAGACATGATCTAAATCCAATCTAAATCATCTGACATAATCTATTTCATGGTGTGAGAGACAAGGATGCAATAAGAAGTTGGTGAGAGATAGAACTCAGAACATATAGAGGCTTATGACTTCCAGTAAATAAAGGCCCATTGTTTACAACTTTATCTTCCACTTCAAGTTGAGCCATACAGACAAATCCAAGCACAAGTCCAAGCAATGTCCCAGCACACTGTCATTATAATATAGATAACCAAATACAATACATACTACATTCAATCATAAACATGCACATGAATGTTCCATAACTTCCATTCAGCATCATTTACTCGATGAAATGTGCTAAGTCCGAGCCGAGGGTGATGACGAAGTCGCAATGACAAACCGGCCGGGTATGGTCCGTAGCATCACGGACGATGTCAATCGCCCGCAGTCACGGTCACACATCTGCTTTTTTCTTCCCTCCTCGATCCTCCCTCTCTCCGAACGGTGCCCAGAAGTACAGGGACCGACATGGAGCCGTCCAAGGTGCGTACCACCCATCGAAGGAGAGCATATACTGATCTATAGGCTCTAGGTTGCCCGAGCTGGCAAGGGTTACAAGCCGCCAGCTGTTGCTCTGCGACAGAAGACCAGCAGGCCATTCCCTCGCCGTTCTCGGCCACATTAGGTGAGCCAGTAATGCTTCCACGATATTGATTCATCGTTTCACAGCACCATAGTCCACGCATCCACCTCAGACTGGCCCTGCACGGCACGACGGCTATTTTCCTTTGCAGACAGCGCCGTTCCGGCCTGTCACCGCGCGTTCTTCGCAAAAGCGCGCGAGTAGAGGCCATATGCGCGCCTCACTCGACGAGACCACGCCGTTGCTGCCCCGCAATCCCTGGTGAGTGTATTCAACTTGTTTCTCAACTCAATTCGCTCAGCGTGTGTGTTTTCAGGTATAACATACCACTGCGCCACTATCGCGTCCCTCCATGTCGAAGGTCCCGCGGCGCCGCGTTCCCCAGGTGTGCCACCTCCCACCGCCGTCCCAGCGGCCGACGCGATGGGCGGGACGGGACGCGACTTCAGGCATGAAGTTCTGGCTCCGCGAACGGGCTACGGCTGGCCTCGTCCGGCCAAGATCAGGCCTGTTGGTGGAGAGGAAGTGGCGGGCGGGCGGTGCGAGACAACCGCTCACCCGTCCGGGCTGAAATTTTCAGCGTCGGGAGCGACACGTCTTTCGCGCTCGACCCGGAATTAGCATGTGTTGTAGTATGCTATGTATGTATATAGAAAGTTATTTATAAATTCAATTTCTTTCATTTATTGCATCCTGAATACTACTAGAGCATCTTTCATAGTCTTTTTGGTAGTCTTTCCAAAAATCCTCAGGTCTTTCCAAAGACCCCAAGGTCTTTCCAAAGACCAGGACGCTGCCTTGCAAAGACCTAAGGTCTTTTGAGTCTTTCAAGTCTTTCAGGTCTTTTTGGTCTTCACCAAAGACCTGAAAGACCTGAAAGACTTTTATGTTATTTTACTGATGTAGACGAAGATATTAGCGAGCCACTCTGCAAGAAACGGAGTCGTCCCCCACTTCTTGGAGCGCTGGATGTGGAGAGACGACATGAGAGGCGAGAAGAAAGTGGTCAAGCGAAACCCTGAATAGGTCGACCCTAAATCCGACTGGAATAAACTTTCCACATCGATAATTCCTTGTGATGGATTGATGGCGCTTCTTGAAACCTCGAGCCTGCACGATCCCGCCTATAAATAGTTGGGGCTACAAGAGGTGAGCAACTGTTCGTTCGGAGGACTCATCATGGTGACTGGCAAATGTTGTTGATTGTTCCCACGGTTTCGATCGCTCTCTGAATCACCTTTGCAAATTATGTAATGCCACTCTCCATAAACCTCATCGTACCGCCTGAATTCTTGGGAGAAGACAATGGGGAGAATGCTGTGGGTACATGCCAGTGGCCGGCTCGTCAATTAATCCTCACATTTATCGCAGTGTCTTCACTTGGAGTGGAGCTAGCGCTGGGGCCTGCCTTGCGGCTCTCTCAAAGGCCATTTGGACTCTTTTTGTACGCTGTGCACCTTTGTCCCACTGTGGTCCTACTCTAGGAACTTCGCTGATGCTCATATATTGAAGCTGACGCGGTCGTCGAAGAACTGCTGAAGGATGAGAATTCAGTCGTGGCGTTGTATCCCCCCATTGTTCGTGCGTTGTCCCAACACCAACGAACATTGGGTGGACCTCGACAACCCAGTCGGATTGATCAGGTGCACCTTATTGACCATAATCGTGGAGCCAGCTTACCTGGCGTGGTTATAAGTACTACGAACACAAGTCTAGCAATTCTTCAGGGACACTCAATTCAGTCCGAGTCACGTACATGACCTGATAAGGTCATACTTATGGCGCTCGAGCGCAACGAGTTCAATAAGCTTCAATGTTCCTATGCCAATTGACGCCGTGGCGTTTCCACTCAGCCTTTTACCTTCATGTCGCAACCAAGAGCTCATCCCCAGTTGAGAGGCCCGGAGCTTTTCCTCGACCACGGCCCCATCTCCAAGCTCAGCTTAAAACAAGTCAAGGCAATACTAGACAAGTTTGGATACCCCAATGTCATTGTGGAATTGGTCAAGCCCAAGGAGCGTAAGTGGTTTTATAAAATTAATTTCAGGAGCTCGGACCTTGGTATGTTCAAGTTTTTCAACATTCAAAAGAAACTTATTACTTTGTTTCTAGCGCAAAGGGCCATCGCCACCGTGAACCACCAAACGTTTCATGTTCCTGGACACAAAGCCCCAATTTCGCTGACTTTTGCTGTGAAATCACCGGCTCATCCTCCAGATACGATCGCCCCGACAGCTGACCCACGGATAATGGGAGATTGGGACTCTAAAAAGTCGTCAGGCGAACTGTACGACTTGTTGCGCCCATTTGGGCCATTGTACACTGTCTGTAGCGATCCGATTGCCGGCGGTTTGGTGCAATTCTGGTCCGAAGAAAATGCTCGTATGGCTGAGGAAGTGCTGGCCATGAAGCGGTACGATCCGTGCAGGGTGTTATGCTCTGTGAGTCGTCTACTGTGCCATTCAAAATGGTATACGTAGGTATTGACTTGGTCTTGCAGAATGTCCACCACGAAATTGATGTTCCCACACTTTCGTCTTATTTTGAGCAGGTAGGTCACCATACCAACTTTGAATAAGCACGATACTTATGCGAACCGTAGTATGGCAATATTGTCAAGTGATGCAAAGCGCGACTTTTGCTATCAAGTGTTGACTCGCTTCTAGTGTCGAGATCCTATCCAAAGCAAACGTCAGTCGAGGAATTGCGGTAATCTCTTTCCTCAAACCTTCCGAAGGTAAGCTAGCCAGCGATTGACCAAGTGCTGGCTCAAGTTGAATAGCAAGTGCTGCGATACAAGCGATGAATGGCTACGAAATTATGTGGCAGAGCATTTCCGTCTCTTATCTTATTCTTGAACAAGAGCGGGAGCATCAAAAATCGACTGCGGAGTTGGCGAAAAAAGCCCTCGCAGTAATTGAGGACTTGCGAGTCGAAATAAATCAACTCCGTCGTTCTCTCCAGGAGTCAGAACATGCTCGTCAATTGGCTGAGAAAAAAGTGGGAGTCTTTGGAGGAAGCGCGCAACAATTCAGAGGACGTGCACCGTCGGGTTGCCGAGGACAATGAAAGTAGGCGGAAAATGGCGGAAATGATCGCGCAGGAAAGACAGCAGAAGGAAATGGAACGAGAGAAGCGTTTGAGAGAACAAGAGCAAGAAAAGAAAAGGCAAGAGGAAGCCCGTCGAGAGCGGGAGCGACAAGAGCAGGAGCGCCGGGCACAACTGGAGCGGGAGAAAATTCAGCGGACTGAACGTTGGAAAGCAGCGACTGAAAGAGAGGAGAAGCGTTGTCGAGAACGCGATATCGAGTTGCGACAGGGTTCGTTGTGGACAATCGGGCTGGCTTTGACGCGCCTCAAGAGCGTCATGGACGAATTCGAAGAGGCTCGGTTCTCCGAATCCCAGCCAGCGACCTTCGCAACAATTCCATGGCCGGTTTGCATTGACCCTCTAATTCTCCAGTCAGATAGCATATCATGGGCCGCAATCGAGGAGTTCTTCTCTCGCTTGAAGCAGACAAAGATGGAGTCGAGGACCTACAATGCGCTCGTTCAACGAGTGCACCGTATGTTCCATCCCGATCGATGGAGGTCGCGAAGAATACTGGAGAGCATTATGGATGTGAAAGTGAGGGCCGAGTTGGAGGAAGCGGGGAAAATCGTTGCACAAGCCATGACGCCATTGTGGACGCAAACGCGGGGTTGAGCAACTGAACAATCTCAGGTCAACACGTCGGACATCACGTGTTTTTCGGTCCCTCAAACGGCGCATCAATTTTTTGTCACGCAGATCGGACTTGCCGTGCTTCTTGGCTTCCACTCCAACTTCTATGTAGTACTTACAGCAAACTTACGGTCTTCTCGACCAGGCACCTAAGGCGCAAAAAGTGTGTATGCTTAGTCCCCGTTATGCTTACAAGTCAACGTTGATTCAATCGTACGCGAGGCTGCTTCCAAGTAAACCTGGAGAGTGAAAATCAAACGGAAAAAAAAATCAGCATCCATCTGCATCCATTCGCCAACGTGTCGTAAGAGGTCAGCAGACCATGAAACAGTAAGGTACACGCGTAGATGCCAGCATGTTGCGTAGAAGCCCGACCCCGCATTCGTGCACCGTATAAAAGGCGTCAACAGCCATGACAAAGCCAGACCACGATGGGACGAGCTCTTCTAGTCGCCCTCATTGGGTTCGCTGTCTCGAGCGTGCTTGCTGGTACCAACGTCGACCCAAAGGTTCTCGATGCTTGTCCCGGTTACACCGCTAGCAATGTTAAAGTCCTGGGAGGTACTTTGACAGCCGCCCTCAAGCTGGCGGGCAAGGCCTGCAATGTGTTTGGCGATGACATACCCTCCTTGTCTCTCAAGGTTGTTTATGAAACTAGTGCGTATTCAAACGGTGACTGGCAACGATCTTCTGACGAACTTGTGTTCGTTTGAACAGAAAACCGCATCCATGTCAAAATCACCGACGCCTCATCAGCACGTTATGAGGTTCCCGAATCCGTCCTCCCTCGACCGTCAGCTGCCAATCCCGTTCCTCCCCTTTTGGCCAATATCCAGTTCAAATATACGACTTCGCCGTTCAGCTTCTCTATTGTCCGTACCTCGACGTCGGAGGTCCTTTTCTCCACAGCCTCCCATCCCATCATCTTCGAGTCACAATATCTTCGCGTGAAGACGGCCCTTCCGTCAAATGCCAACATCTACGGCTTGGGAGAACATACCAACTCCTTCCGTCTCAATCCCAACAACACCACACTCACCTTGTGGTCTCGTGATGCCTACGGCGTACCCTCGGGCTCCAATTTGTATGGAAACCACCCTGTCTATTTCGAACAACGCAAGACAGGTACTCATGGCGTCTTCTTGCTCAACTCCAACGGGATGGACATCAAGTTGACCCCCGGTGCTCTCGAGTATAACGCGATTGGTGGTTTGCTCGACTTCTACTTCCTTGCCGGAAGCCAGACGGATCCGACTGAGGTCGCGAAACAATACGCAGAGATCGTTGGCACTCCCGCTGAAGTGCCTTACTGGTCTTTCGGACTGCATCAATGTCGTTTTGGCTACCAAAGTGCGACGTTTACGCTTATCTTGAAACAGCTCTGACCTCACTTTTAGACTATATTGACGTCTCTCAAGTCATTACTAACTACTCGGCCGCTGGTATTCCCCTTGAGACTATGTGGACTGACATTGTGCGTGATCACGATCTCCTGTGTTTTCCTTTTAGCTAAAGGTCTGGTGTAGGACTACATGGACCGGCGCAGAATCTTCACCGTCGACCCCCAGTACTTCCCCATGAACCGGATGCGCGAGGTTGTCGATTATCTGCACGCGCACGACCAACATTTCGGTGGGATTTTGGTCTCGCTGTTAAGTATTGGCTGAGCCGTTGACACTCGCCAGTACTCATGACTGACCCTGCTGTCGGCTACGCTCCGGGCGAGGGCTACGGACCATTCGATCGCGGCACGCAAGCTGACATCTGGTTGAAGAACAGCAATGGAAGTGCTCATCTCGGACTCGTATGGCCTGGTGCGTCCAGATTGATTTTATTGGCCTGTTCTAACGCTAGCTTCCAGGCGTTAGTGTTTATCCTGGTTGGTATTTTTCTAGACATGGAAGATCACGCTGACTAATCGATCCAAGATTGGTTTAATCCTAAGATTCAATCGTACGTCTTTCCGGAAAGCCGTGGGCTTCCTACTGACCTAGTTGTAGGTACTGGTCAAACGAATTCTCGATCTTCTACTCCCCGAAGACCGGTCTCGATATTGGTGAATTCACCTGAACTTGCAACCGTCAATGACTGATGATTAAATTCAAGACGGTGCATGGATTGACATGAACGAACCTGCCAGCGTTCGTATCCATCTAATTTAACGCACCTTGAGTTAACCAAGACACAGTTCTGCGACCTCCCTTGTGACAACCCGTTCGAACAGGCGGTCCAACAAAACCTGCCTCCCCCACGTTCTTCACCCCCACCCGACCCCAACACGCCCATTTTTGTCAACGCCACTGCTGTCGGTCGCATCAACAAGCGCGACAATCTCCTCAACCCATTATACTCCATCAACAACGCCGCTCCTGGAGGAAACCTTTCCAGCAAGACCGCTTTCGTATGTCTGACATGTCGACTTCTCAACTATTACCTGAACAAAGTTACTAGACCAACACAGTTCATGCTAACGGACTGACCGAATACAACACTCACAACTTATATGGCACGATGATGTCTGTCGCGACCCATCAAGCCATGCTTGACCGCCGCCCCGGAAAACGGACCCTGGTATGACATTGGTTCCAGAACCTTGGACTATTCTGAAGGTCCTTTCAGGTCATCACACGATCGACTTTCGCTGGTGCTGGAGCGCATGTTGGGAAATGGCTGGGAGATAACTTTGCTGAGGATGACCATTATCGACTTTCCATTGCGGGAATGCTTGGAATGGCCACTGTATATCAAGTGCCAATGGTTGGCGCCGACATCTGTGGCTTCGGTGCGTACTATTCTTTTGTTGAGGCTTTTGTTCTGATAGTGTTTAGCTGGAAACACGACGGAGACGCTTTGCGCTCGCTGGGCAACTCTTGGTGCTTTCTACCCGTTCATGCGTAACGTGAGTAAAGCTTCTTTCGCCATTGCGTCGATTAATATGTCTGTAGCATAACGCAGACAACGCCATCAGCCAAGAGTTCTACCGCTGGCCGCAAACGACTGCTGCTGCGAAGAATGCGCTTGATATTCGGTCAGTCTACTGTTGTTTAACTTGGACTTGCCTGACCTCCATAACAGTTACCGCTTGATTGACTACTTCTACACGGCCTTCCATCAGGCCAGCGAGCTCGGGACACCTGTCGTCAGCCCTATGTGGTTCAAGTACCCGAAAGACACTGCGACATATGGCATCGAATACCAATTCTTCTTCGGCGACTCGATTCTGGTTTCTCCTGTAACCGACCCGAGCTCCACATCCGTCTCCATCTATCTCCCCAAGGACGTCTTCTACGACTTCAAGACGCTTGCGCCGGTCCAGGGCAAAGGCGCGCAAGTCCAACTTTCCAACATTGCCCTCTCGGAAATTCCAGTCCACATCAAAGGCGGTGTCATTCTCCCCCTGCGTGAGAAGGCCCAAATGACGACCGCCGAGCTGCGCGAAACCGACTTCGAGTTTGTCGTTGCCCCTGGCGCTGACGGGAGCGCCTCTGGCTCGCTCTACATCGACGATGGCGAGTCAATCAAGCAGGCGCGCCAGACGGAGGTGTCGTTAGTCTACAAGTTTGGCACGCTCACTGTGCTGGGCCAGTTCGGGTACAAGACGGGTGTCAACGTGGCCAGAGTGAAGGTTTTGGGCGTCAGCAAAGCCCCGAAGAGTGCGTTCCTGAATGGGAAGTTGGTTGCGCAAAAGGGCATCAAATACGACAAGGCGGCCAAGGTCCTCCAGGTCGATGTCGGATTGCCATTTACGCATGGTTTCACGCTCACGGTTGTTTGAAACGGAAAATTAAAAAGAACGCAGTACACTTAACGAATGAATTAATGACACAGATGTCTGCTGAAATGTCTCACGATGAGTTGTCGAGGTTTTTGCGTCGGAGGGTCTCAAGAGTGCTTATGTTGAGTGAAAGTAGCATGTTGAAATGTAGGGGGGACAGAAGTTTCAAGAAAATAATGGTAACGTGACGCGCATCAAATTGTGGAAAATGCTTCGAGGACGCGACACAGTTGTAATGATGTGCCGCAGGCCTAGGGCTACGACCCCCGCTTGCGTTTGAGCAGGCCTGGTACTTGAAGATAGTCTGGCTTGTCCAATTCCACGCTCGACATTGTCCGCGGCTCTTCCTTGAACTCTTCATCCACTTGTGCTACTTCGTCATCGTTGAGAATTGACTTTTCATCCACGACTAACCCGTCAGCCTTGCGCGTCCATGTCTCGACACTTTTCATCCGCAATTTCAGATCCCTCACGGAGCGACGCTTTAATTCCTTCTCTGCTTCGGAATCAGGGTCGTCTTCATCGTCAGATGGGGCGTTCGGGTCCCTGGCCAGTTCTTCAGGGAGCAAATGGCGAGGCGGTGTCATAAAAGTTGCAACAGAGAAGAGTGACATTGAAGCGGTTGACATGCCGTCTGAATCATCTGAGTCCGGAAGTTGCGCGTCTGGAAGACCAGCTTGGAAACCAGGAGGGATTCTTGCGCACATTGCAGCTGCTGAGCCAGCACTGCACGCAGTAGTTAGTCGCGTCATGTCACACGTAGTCACATCCATCCGAGTTTGCTTCTCACCAAGCGCTGCGAGCCTTGGGCATCTCCAACATCCAAGACCTGTATGTGTGTTCAAGGAGATCGAAAGTTCCGCAGATTTGATCTATCGTGAATTCTGGCCAAGGCCTAGCAGGCATAGGCAGTTTGACGAGAGTTGCCGCATGGGCTTTATTATTATTATTATTATTTCCAACAAAGTGACTGCAGTGCGAAAGGACAGGTCATGGCATTCGATTTTCTTCGCGGACGTGGCCATGATGAAATGTGGCGGTATGGAGGAAGTTATGATTCGAGGTGGGGTAACAACTGTTTCGTAGTTCGTCGACCTGGAAAACAAGATATTCGAAAGTTTGCTGGCCTTGATAAACCTGCATAAGCTCGTCAGATAGCCCGAGTTATTGATAAGGATTGCATAGTAATTGGAATATACTTGGTCAATACGACTAGGCTGTCGATGTCCATATAACATTTGTCGGTGCTGGGACAACGCGCGACAAATGGGAGGGTACAGCGCCACGACTGAATTGTCATCTTTTAACAGCGTTTCGACGACAGCGTCGGCTTCGACGTAGCGCTCAGCGAAGTTTTTCAGGTGAGTGAGACCAAGACGCGTACATAATGAGCTCAAATAGCTTTCGAGAGAGCCTAAAGGTAGACCCCAACACCACTCCAAATGCCGACGCTACCAAAATATGAGGTTTGATTCACAAGACAGCCATACACGCACAGCATTCTCGCCACTGTCTTCCTCAAGGAATTCGGATGGTACGATGAGGTCGACCGAGAGTGGCATTCATTATGCTTTGACGGTCACATGACCTCAGATTTTGGCCTCGATCCCTCTTCAACACACACTCGCTGGTTCTAGTATATGATGTTTGTTAGCTGCATTCGATATATATCTAAGTATTTAGACTGGCAGCCCTCGCTTCCGTTTCAGTAGCCCTGGCACTTGTAAATAGTCTGGTTTGTCCAGCTCTACGCTGGAGAGTGTCCGTGCTGCCTCCTTAAACTCTTCATCCACTATTCGTACTTCCTCGTCGTTGTAAGCCGAAACGTCCAAGCCGTCAGTTTCGCGGACCCAGCTGCTAACGCCCTTTATCCACCGATCTTCATATTTCCGCCGCCGCTTCGCCATTTCAACTTCAGAGACACTGTCATCGGTGATAGCATCTTCGTCGTTCGGGTCTCTCGCTAGTTCTTCAGGGAGTAGTCGACGAGGCGGAGTCCTGGAGGTTTCATCGGAGTAGCAAGAATGGGAGGCTAAGGATACGCCGCCCGACCCATCGGATTCGTCTGGGAGTTGGGCGTCCGTGAGACCGGCAATAAAACCGGGAGGCACTTTTGCAAGCATCCACATGCGGAATGCATATCCCAGACCCGTGTCAAGCATTGAGTATGTTGAAATTATTGTGCTTTCGGGCCATAACTTGCAAGACGTCGGGAGCTTGAGAAGAGCTTCCAGTAATGCTGCTCCCTCGTCTGGAAATATTCGATTGAGGAAGAGTTTCATCACGGAACGTCCAATCGTCAAATGCGGCGGGATGGGGGAAGAGATCAGACGAGGTGGCACACGAGAGGATTTATCGGCTTCAAAAACGAGATACTCGAAGGACTGTTGACCGTTGTACACCTGGACACGGAGGACTTAGAGATTACGTAAGAAGGTTGAATGAGTTGAACGCACCTCGTCAATAGGGCAGGGTTGTCTCAGTTCCTCCCGTCTATCCATCATTGCGATGTTCGTGCTCTCAGCCACATCTGGCTCAACTATCAGAATCGACTTGTCATCCGCGAGCAATTCTTCGACGACAGGGTCCGCTATTCAGAAAAGTATGAATATGGGTCGGCAGATAGTGCATAGATACGGACTAAACAGGCTCAAGTAGCTTTCAAGAGAACCCACAGGCAATCCCCAGGACCACTCGAGACGAGCACGCTGCAAAAATAAGTTTAACGAGTCTCTCTGGAGCTCAGAACTTACACATATCTGATGAATATTGTCCTCTAAAATATGGAGAGGAATGCAATCATCCAAGATGAGCTTCAATGGAAGAGGCATGAAGAGTGAGTGTCACGTCACGGTCACATTGGACGAAATTTCAGCAGTTTACCAAGTTGCGCCTTGTCTCGTTGGCACCAAATTACTGAATATTTCTGCAATTACATAATCGGACTAAACACTGTACAACGTTGGCTAAAGCGCTTTCCAAAGAGCACGATGTCCAGGCTTCTTATAAAATAACTTGGACGCTTGCCTCATCGTGTTGTATACCTGAAGAATATCCTCCAGGACATTTTGATTGTCTTGGGGCTCGCCACCAGCACGCATCCAGCTTGTCGTTAGTTTCTTCTTGAACAGCACCTGGTCTGTGGTACTTAAACCCTTTAGGATCTTGTCCAATTTTTTACCAAGCTCAAAGATCGCAAAATGCGGATATATCTGGGACTTGACTTTTCCGAGCGAAGTGAAGGGAAATTGATGGAGTGTGTCCACGAGGGAATTATTTGTTCCATCATCTGTTCGTCTGTAGAGATTGACCGTCTTCATTGACTCCTCGTCGAGACACAAAAGGTAATATTTGAACCGAAGGCGTCTGCCCGACGTTCTGGGGCGGTATCGACTCTACATTGAATTAGCCTGGGATAACCTAGCTGCATGTATCTGGCTCACTCTGAATGAAACCATGTTTTTGTCAGGCTTTGGACAGTTCTTCGCGAGCTTTTGCATGGCTCGAGCGACGCTCCGAATGACTCTGTGATCTGGGCATAGTGCCCATAGACCTTTATCCGCCATTAAGTGCCAGTCCGCTGTCACTGAAAAAAAATTCCAGTCAATTGGTAGTGAAAATCGGAAACGAGAAACTGACTTGTGGTAGCATTCGACGAAGAGTCCGCGTTAAAACGCCGCGGCGGTACTTGATCTGCCACTTCGATATTCTCCATCTAACCCCCACTAGTCAGTGGATGAATGCGGATGAACGGTTTTGCACGCACAAGATCCTCGTCCGCAGAATAAGAGCGTGGTAGAGTATGCGAGATTTGGACGGTGCATTCGGGCGATTTGATATTGGTGATGATACACCTTCCATGCTGGGGCGAGTTCTGCTCCACGCGTTTACGGAGTGAAGCTGGAGCAGACTTCTTTGACGTCGCTCGTTGGGAGGGTGTCTGCTTTACATTACTCTGGCGATTCGAGTCCCCAGAATCCGAGTCGAATGAAGTGTCGGTGTGATCTTGGATGAAGTCCTCTTCGTCAAGACCCACGGACGATTTGTGCCTTTTGCTGCGCCGGCGTGAAGGGCTACCAGGATCAGGGTTCGATTCGTCATGATCGTCCAGTAGCGGACTCAGGGGAGACTCCGCTGGCCGTTTATCTCCGGCTTGCAGCGATTTCTTGGGGGGAGTAGTCGGTGCGGCATTTGAGCTGGTTGATTGTAGTGCCCGCGATGAGGAACCGGGGGTGCTCGGAGGCGTTGTGGCATTTGATTCAGAATATGAAGTCGAGGATAGCGGCTCAGGATGACGCGGACTCGTCGATGGTGCGAGAGCAGACAAAATAACGGCTCTGAGAGTGTCTTGCAGCTTTTCCGGAAAGACGCAACAACTTCCGTTTGATATGACCGTGTACAACTCGCTCATATCGGCCTTGGTTAACTCAATCTGAAGAGGTCGAGAGTCATCTTCAGCCATGTTTGCCTAATTTGACCGTTAGAAACGGTGCCAGGAAAAGAGATCTTGGACGACAAACCTTATCGATGGTGCGGGTTGTGGTCAAAGAAAACGTCTAGTCACCCGATTGTCACGAATGCTACTGCTATTGTCCCATCAGCTTCTGCGTCCTAGAACAATGTGCGCAATCCTTAGATGCCGTCAATTGGATTAGAAAAAGAACTAGCTTACAGATTAACGGAGTCATCGCAATACATGCCAAATGGCTGCACGACATGCAGTTTCCACAAGACTTTTCCAAGTTGTACGTTGTTGCTTCAGCGAGCTTCAGTTTTCCAAGATACATATGTAGTTGCTGAGGTTCATTGTCGCGATCTTCCCCAGCTCCACTATGATTATCGTTCAAGACAGCGCTTTCTGCTGCGTTGAAAAGTCCTGGACCCGCCACCGCTTGCGTGTTGAAAGAGCACAAGCTTTAGAGATATGACTGTCGTGTGTGAAGCTTTATCCTAGCCAGGATGTTTCAGGAAATAATCGATGAGTTGGGGGGATGATCTGCGACAGGCTGGAAAATGAGGCAGAGGACATGCGGTAGGATTCATCGCAGTCGTCCGACAAGTGAGCACCAAAAAGACCGGACTCAAAGCTCGAACGGCGATGGTTTGAATGCTTGCAACTGCAGGGCGAGATGTGATCCGATTCCAGTCGAGTTTCTTCATGGAAGAGCCAATCGTTGGATGCGGGGGGATAGAAGAGTTGTGGGTCTCGTTGAGCCGAAAGACGATATATTGATTTTTGACAGCTACAGTGTACAACGCGTCAGGTAGGTTTGTAATCACAACACTGTGGCATACCTGGTCAATATAGCTGGGCATTTCAATTTGCGTGTATGCTGGAGGGGGAGAGAATTGATACGGAGTTTTCGTCATTTTCGTCATTCAGCAACGCCTCGACCATGAAAACAGGGCCAACTGCATATATTAGATAAGCTCCGGAGACTCGGACATCCGCGCACCAAATGAGCTTGAGTGGGCTTCAAGAGAGCCTGTGGGCAAGCCCTGGCACCATTCCGGACGAGTATGCGACATGTCGAAATGAGTTTGTCCGCATCAGTGCAGCTATTGGCGGCCGTTTCTCTTAGGAGCAGTCCCAAAGGAATGGAGACATTGATGATGAGCGCGACTAGGAGTTGCACAAGGTAAGGACCCCTTGTCGCTGTGGTTCTCACAAACTGAGAGCAAGACTGAGAGTAAGTCGAAAGAAAATCTGCGTCACGTGTATGGCTTCTACCGTCCGGAAAAAACTTGGCATTGAAAGATATTCGGAGCGCCAGCGAAGATCTGCCGCACTCAGGGGGCCATCTGCATGCCGCCGATGCAGAATACTACACGGTTGGCAAAGGAATGACTATCGCTCGCAATCCTTTCGAACCCACGAGAACCTAATCCATACTATGATACCTCACTGATATTGTTCAGGGTCGTACGTCTACCTCGCTCCAGCCCGTAATCACTTTCTTAGAACTGTTCAATTCACTTCCTGAAGCGACAACTTTAGCGCGTTGAAGATCTATCTGGGCTCGACTCACGCTTGCGTACAGTGCTTTTTAAAGTGATTAGTAACGAAAGTTCTGAGCTTGTTGCACTCGATGATTGTTCTAGCCCTGTCGCTAGGGTCCTCGGAACCACACCATTCCAGTGCTTGACTGGGTGGACACCAAACGTGTTTGTCATCGCTGTTGGGGCTGCCTGAGGAATCCACTGGGACTACCCCCCCTGCGGATCTATGGCCACGCCGATGGAACTCGCCATAAAGCTATTCGAAGGCCTGCAGTTTTCCACAAGAGGGGCATTGTGCACGGAGTATGATTTTTGCGTGACTGCGAACCGTGTACCGACAACGACACGAGGATATTCAACGCCAGTATATTGTCAAGTGCTTCGATATACGGGAGCTCCCGCCACACCAAACAGGCTTGAAGAAAATCGGGGGCTCGGCACGATCACCATGACCGTGGTAATATTTTGAACAAGCAAGCATTCATTATGGTATGTAAGCTGGTTTGAGTCGCCTACATAGAACCGTCACTTTCAGCTTCAAAATCTTTACTAGATGTAAGTCAGAGAGTCGGGTGAACACGAAAACTTTGATGGGAAACCTGTGTCGCCTCAACTCCATGGGCAGTGGGCACGATCATAGGTTTGTCCAGCTCCAGCGACAAATGGGAAGCTTGACCTGTATGAGGCCGATCTTTACCAGCGCTGATAAGAGCCCGCTCTTAGTTGTCTACTTACATCTCCACATTCGAAACTGGGAGTGTCTTAGGCCATCGCTTGTGCTTCGACTGCTTTCCCTTCGGCATCAGCGCAAGTAGATTTGTCGTCCATCTCCGGATCAGAACAGTCCAGATCGCACAGCCAACTCTCGACCCGCTCTGTGCATTGATCCTTCATCTCCACGATCGATTTCAAGTTGACAATATTTTCTCCCGGTTGTCGGATTATGGATGCGTGGAGAACAGATTCAGAGATGTCGGCGTTGTCTATCGTTATTGCAATTGGATCACCTTCAAGCTCGGAAGGGACTGGTGTCGAAAAGGATGATTCGGGACTTGAATATGGCTCCTGCAGGTTCAACTTCACATCCGAAGGCGCCTCGTCGTGTTGGACCATCTCCACTTCGTCGGCATCGAAGAGAAATTTGTCGTCCATCTCAAACCGGCCAACTTCGTGAACCCAATTGGTGATTCGTTTTTCGCGCCGAGCTTTCACCCTGAATTTCGAGAAATTACACGCCGGTTTTCGAACGACGTATATGGTTTTTCCAGTGGAGCCCAAGCTCTGTTCCGAGTCTGTGATCGTATCTTCGTCGTCACTGGCAGACGCAGTACTCGGATATCCTGCAGATGTGTGAGGAAGCAGTCGATAAGCAGTGTGATGCCAGTGTTTGGTCGTGCCACGAAATAAGAACCATACCTTCAGAGCCTTCCGATTCCTCCGAGAGTTCTGCGTTTGGTATACCCGTGATGAATCCAGAGGGCACTTTTGCGAACAACCATTGCCTGAAGACACAGCCCAGTGTGATCAACCGGGCGTTCACGCGACTGGGTTTGACTTGATTGATTTCAGGCCGAGGACTTGCGTGCGGAAGATAATAAAGCATATAAAAAAGGTCCCACAACCTCCGTCTTCGTGTTGCGGACCGAGAGAGTCGGTGCTGACAGAGCTTCCTTATTGACCGGCCAATGGTAATATGGGGCGGGATTGAAGAAACAATCTGGCGAGGCAGTTCCATGGTGGCTTTATTAGCGTCCCAGACGATATACTTGAACGGCTTGTCGCGGTCACTGTATATCTAAACAACCAGAATTCAATGCCAGCATCAAGTCGGAGCCAGCGCATCGACGTGATCACATACGTTGTCAATAAAAGTGGGCTGGCCTCTGGCTTGCCTATCTGGTAGATGTTGAAGCAACCTCGTCGCGAAGCGGGAATCAAAGGTTAAGAAAGAGCTGTCGTCTTCCAGAAGTGCTTCCAAATCAGGATCAGCTAGAGAAAAGAGCTTAAAACTTTTTATTGGTGATGTTGTCGGTTGAGACGCACAGAATGAGGTCAAATACATGTCGAGAGACCCCATGGATAAACCCCAACACCATTCAAGTCGAGTTCGCTCGAAAGGCATCAGCTTCGGCGAAGGGCATCGTGGGTGCAGTTGCTGACAGTCAGGTACTGTATATTCTTCTCATGTATGTCTCGGGGCGGAATACTGTCGTCGACGATAAGCTTGGCTAAATACTGGTGCTGTGGGCAAATACTGCAGTAATACTGACGGTGTGACGCTGACATCACCAAATATCCGTTTTGGGATGGGGTTTGATCCTCCGTGATTCTCGGAGGCCCGCGTTCAAGTACACTTTTGCCCGATTTTTCTGTTGTATTTTTGTAACAATAATTGATTCAAGTGGGGCTTTGTGCTGGACTTGGCTTATCTACTATAACTGTACCATGAACCTTGGCTTGCTCCATAATTTATTTACTTCTGGAACAGCACAAGGCATCAAATAGACACAATAATGTATGTTTGGGAGTAAATAATTTAATATCTGGTCTAGAGAGCAGGGAGCCTGTTGAAGCTATACTCTTGGACCATGCTCCCAACCACTTACCTCTCTGTAGGTGAGCAGAGCTGCTGCCCTACTGTTTGATGGGTATGGCGTGACGACAACGTGACGGGCATCGGACCGGGGAACAGCCGGCCAGAAAAACCCGATTTGGGTTCAGTATTTGCCATCAACGGGTGCCGCGCGGCAAAAATATTCAAAAATGGAAATTGTTGACAGTATTCTGTGATATTCACATGAGATGTGTGACAGATCAAACTGCTCGCCGCAGGCGCCGCTCAGAGAAATTCACTCTTGAGAGAGGCTTGTTTTGCATGTAAAAACAGTAGGAATACAATGCAGATATCTATTTAAATCCCTCTCTTTTCCTTTCCTCCCTCCTTCCTTTTTAGGAATTTTTATTTTTCTTCTTTCGGCTGCCCACAACACCAGTATTTTGCCATAAGCTTCACCGATAGCGGCATGACAGTCGAGAGCGAGGTTTGTGTGACGTGGATCACGTGAATCGTGACAGCGTTTTCACCTTGCCCACGAACAAGCAGCACATCACCAAGTCTGGCAGAGAGATATTGGATGGGCACGAGGCAAGAGCCGCAAAATGCTCTGCGCGACTACTTATTCGCAGGACCGTCGGACACGATCGTGCAACTTGGTCTGCATAGGTCCCTCCCCCGCTTTCGCGTTGCCCTTGTTCTGATGTTGGTTAAAGTCTTCGAAAAACACCTTCTTTGCTTCCGTAGGTGAACGTCTCAGCCCTGTTTTGCTTAGGCTAATATTTTCAGATCTACTAGACCTCGATATTCCACAGCTTCTTGTGGTCAAGATCCATCTCGCAAGGGACTTTTAACTCACGCTGCAAGCTATCACGACTCACATACAGGTTAGGCGCAAGATCGACGGAGATTCGGACCGAGGAGAGCAGAACGGTTGCCAAAGTCGTGGACATGAGACGACCGTACTACGAGCAAGATGATGGTACTTATCCGCACCGCGGCAACATCAATGGATAGGAAACTTCAAGTCTCCGTCAGCATTCCAGTTTCTGCCAGTGGTGGTGTGTTGCTCCGGCGAATGTAAAGCCCGCCATCTTGATGCATATATTAACAGTCATAGTATCACGACCGACTTCGGATTCTGAATAGCGCACCGGCGAGTGCAAACCCCCTGTTGAGACTGGCGTGGGACTCTGACGGTCAGTGGTCAATTCTGCATTCCGGAGCCAAGCTTGAGGCGTGCACAGTGTACTCTTACTGGCAGTGAACGATGTGTTTATTCTTGTGGCGTGCCACCAGCAGTAGCGTCCACTAGCAAAAGGAGACATTAGCGACTACTGCCATCCAGCTTTGTGCACTTTTCGACCTGCTCACGCCCCATGCGACATCTCTCATGCAGCATGCCGCTAGCATTTGCCCTGCATTCACAGCGTCAACATGGCATTCAAGTTGAAATCCAACAAGCGTCTCTTTTCCGCGCAATAACAATAACCAGGACGCGGTATTTAAGGACGGCCTACGAAGGTGAATTCTCCAGTCCACTACAAGGTAGGTTCCGTTCTTTGCCTGCCGCAATGCGATAACCACCTCCCCAGCTTCAAGTTTACAGTCTCACCAAATCTCCTTCAATATAGCCATGTCGACCTGGGATGCTTGTAGGTCATCGCCAACGTGTTCATATCCTATTTAATCTTCTCCGCTAGCACTGAAGAGCCTTAAAGACAAGGCCCCTGCAGCCGCTGACGTCACCGCCGCCGGCAGCCTCGATGAGCGCGTTGCCGCCGCTGACAAGGAATATTCGCGGCCTCGGTCACCCGCTTTATCGTCTACGCTGATGGCTCCACAATCTACTTGGTCACCAAGGACCAGCAGGGCCAGGGCCCGTGCATCAAACGCGGACAAGGTGCCTTTGGGGGTTTCCCGACGACACATTTTTCTGGAACCTACACCCTTGTCCTCACCGCCACCACTGCCCAGCTGCTGAAAAACGGCGTCGTCGTCTACAAGGGCACCGGCTACGCAACGCCGTCCATTCGCCGCAGTTGGCAAATCAGCTTTTAAACTGATAGCGACAGTACTAGTTGTTGCTTTTATAACAAGGCGCTTGAGCTATTACACTCGAAGCAAAGCCAACGCTTGGCTGATTGTTGGTCGCTTGGTTGAATCAGCCTGCGTCATCTGCGCTATAAGCGACGAGTAGTGCTCTGGTACGACGAGGTGATTTTCTCCATATGTCTATGAGCGGTTACTGGCGGCAGCAAGACAAAGAAGTCGTTCGCACTTTAAAGGCCCTCTTGAGCTCAAGTTCCAAAACTTTTCCTAAATTAAAGACATAGGCTGCAAAGAGATCAATCTCTGTTTGCGATTCCATGCCTATGACTTGTTCTGGGGCCGGCTCCGTCGTTGGATTTGTCCTTGGTATTCCCCAAGGGTTTTCCAGCGACAAGATGTGGGCGGAGCCAAAGTCGATATATGCATACTTGACCTTGTGAGTGAGACGGAAATCGTTCTCGCATTGATGTGGCGGGAATGCCCGCACGTTGAAACAGTTGATGACAATGTTCTGGCATTGGATATCCTCGTGTCGTTGTCAGTAAAGCGCTGCGCTTCATGGTCACGCAAAAGTCTTTACTCCATGTACAATGCCTCTCTCGTGAAAAAACTGCAGCCCTTCGAACAGCTTTACAGCGAGTTCCATTCGCGTGACCATCGAACCGCAAGGAGGGTAGTCCCAGTGCATTCCCCAGGCAGCCATGACAGCGATGACAAACCCATATGGCGTTTCCACCCAGTCCAGCACCGGAATGGTGCGATTCCGAGCGTCCTCCCGAGCGACGGGGCTGGAGCAATCCTTGAGTGCAATCAATTCGGGACTTTCATTACCAATCGCTTTGAAAACCACTGTACGCAGACGCGAGTCGAGCCCAAATAGAGCTTCGACACGCTATTGTTGCTTCAGAAAACGTCCAAAATCTCTCAGACATGTAGTTATGGTCTGAAGCGGAGTCAAAGGACGAGCTTGGACTATATCAGCGTAAGGTCTCATAACATCGATGAAATTCTCGTGAGGGGCGGGATTGAAGGGATTGTGAGCGATATTCGGCACAGCCATTCCTTCGCCAACCGTGTCGTATTCTGCATCGGTCGCAAGCAGATAGCCCCGCGAGTGCAGCAGCTCTTCGCAGGCGCTCCATGGCACTGGGGGCACAAGCTACGGCGTGCCGGAACACGCGGACCGACCGCGTGGCTGGCCGCGTGCTTGACTCGTACCTACCGCGGACCTACCGCGTCTCCACCTATTGTTCACCGCATGACGAGGATATGACGTCATGCCTCGTGGCATGGATTGAAAGTTTCGAAAAAAAAAAAACTCTTCAGTAATCACCAACCATGAGTGGCACAGCACACGGACCTGCCATTGGCAGACGCGGTTGATCAAGGCTCCGACTTCATGCAACACGAAACCACCCAAAACATCCGCCCCTCGCTTTGCATGTGCTCCGTGTCGAGTCCGTCGATGACAAGCACGAGCTCATCAATGTCATTCTCGCGATCGAACCGGCCAGCACCATTCGTCAAGACAAGGGCGAGGAAGCTGGCTGCTCAGGCCAAGGAGGGAGCTCAGTTCCTTTTTACTCCATGTTGATCCCATCAACTGAGTTTCAAATGTTATTTTTCACCGAAGAACAAGTCATTAATATTTATTCAGGCTGTCCGTACTACTTAAAAGGACTTCTAGACAATCCCAGCCATTCCTCACATCCACACTAACCTCCGGCCGCGCACGTCTCTGCCAAGCCGTGCTGTTGTCCCCCCCACCCCTCTGTGATGCGGCCGTAGCGCGCTACGGCCAGTTACAAACCTGCCCCGATCTGCCAGTGCATTAGTGCGCAACTTTTGCAGTGGGGCGCTCATGCTTCCGCTTGACTCCATCGTGCTGCCCAGTGCCGGCGCGTCGTCGGCCCATACTTGTGGCCTGGGCTTGAGCCGACGTGGATGCGGGCTGAGTTCAATGCTGTAAGCGGGTGCCCAAACAACTAAGAACGACTCACCTTGGACCCTGCCCACGCGCGACCGCTTGTAGCTCCTCCATCCCCTGGTCTCAGCTTCCCTCGGCGCAGGCCTTTGGCCCGCAGCCAATTTCATTGTGCCGCCGGGGTCCGGCGGCGACCACCTTCAGCTCCGAGAGCGCCGAATCCATCAGTTAGTGTTGGGTAATACAGAAAGGCGCACCAGACGTGCTTAACGAACAACCCCGGTACACGCAGGCGCTGCCGCATTTTCCCCTTTGTCCAGCGCTTCCGTGTCGGAGGGCGACGTCCAGGCGCGTGTTGGGTGCACCAGCAAGAGGCAGGTGGCGGAGGTTCTAGGGTCTTGTGTCGGGGAAGATGCCGTTCTTTGCACTAACGGGGATGATTTCCAGTGCTTCCGTTATTGCCGAACTCACGCTGAAGACGCGGCAGGTCCAACAACGGCGCCGGCGAATGTTTGTCAGCAGTAGTGCAACGGCGGTTTCGTGGCTGGGAGTGTTGGAGGTGCCTTGTTGGCCAGGTGAAGTACACCCCAGTGCGCGCGGCTTGTTGTAGCTAGGAAATGAAGCAGTGCTCGCGGCGCTTATCAA